GCTACACGCCATTTTTACGGACATGATCTTCAAGTTACAACATTGGTTTGCTTACAATATGCTCCCCAAGTAGAGTTGATGATTAGGCTTACGTTTAAGAATTGTACTGAATGCAATTTTTGCAATATTCTTCAAAAATGGCTTCGCGTCCACGTTGCATACCAGATTCAAGCTTCATATTATTGTGTTAGAATTCCGAGATACACCAAGATCTCTAAAACCAAAGTTTGAACCAGTATCTATTCAAGTGCGTTGTTTCGATGATTCCTCCGAAGTTGCATATGGCGTTGTCACATATAACTTTTATAAAAGCGTTTATAGATCGAATTCATCGCTCATATCTGCTAGTCAGGGCTAGGGTCGCTCTTTTGAAATCAGCCACTACACCTAGAATGGAACTAACGGTCTGTGTTCTGTGAGCTAATATTGGGAAGAATGCAAAAGAACAGTTGAACATACCCATTTCCTCGATCATTTATTGGACGGACAAATTCATATAGCGAAGTTGAGAACAGCAACGGAAGAAATCATGTACGAAGCTTATGCTTACTTGAAGAAGCCAGTTGTCTAACGACCATTCAGTACGATAGACGTGGTGTACGTTTCTGTGCCCATAAAAGAAACCATCAGTGATAGCATGAAAGCACACCACCGCAGTAACTCTCTTTGACCTTTTATGACTATGCACAGTTTATTCACCAACCATAGTCTGATGTTTATCATAAACCATATTACATTTATTGGAATGTGAACTTGTGAAGATTGCAATTATTATGACGGTTGGATTCATGAGTTGAGTCGTTATGTGCTGCCAGGTTTTCAATACTGAACTAGCTAAGATCTACCAGTGAATTCAACTGTTAAGGCATTAGGTTCGCTGACCCATTTTCTTTTGTCCTCTTGTCACAGTTTGGTATGCTTTTCATGTCTCCTTTTTCCCTGTTTCATCATTTATTTTGAATTCTAACAGTGTTAATTTACTTCTTTGACACATAAAGTTTATCGAGTCAAATAACTTACTTGTTCTGACATTGGCTAAGATAAGGCTATGGTCTTGATATTCTAAAGAACAATTTAGAATAGCATATGTATTTGTATCAACTCGCAAGCGAATGGAAGCAGGCGATATTCAACTCAATCTCTAAAGGAGGAGATATCACAAATCCAGCCTTTTACAGACCAGTTACTTTATTGCCATTTCTTTCGAAGATAATTGAAGTGCTGGTGAATGAACGAATGGATAAAAACAACATTGCCTACGAAGCTGAATTTGGAATTAGGAAAGGCAGTTCATGCCCATCAATTCTCCTCATTGCTAAGGGAAACCTGAACCACCTACTGGCCCATATAATATTCCTCAATTTTACAAAAAACATTGGACACTTGACCTCACGTACTTCTCATAGCGAAGGTTGCAAAGATCAGTTCCACTGGCTTACCATCATCGTAGCTCCACAACTACGCAGATAACAGTATTTTTCGTAGCTGGCTAGACAGAGTTCACGCGAGTTATAGGGTTTCAACAACAGAAGTTTCCAAAGGGACAATCTTAGGCCACTCTTGCTTTAATTCTTCATTGCCGATCTGCGGATAAAACTAGCCATACAGCACTAATCTATGCAGACGACGCAAAGATCTGAATGTCAATGAAAATCGGAAAGGACTCAATTGCGCTTCACAAGGACCCTACAACGATAGAGGAGTGAGAAGTTGACGATGAGTTAAAAATTAGCCTGTCAAAGTATCATGCCATGAACAATCTGCCTTATTTAACACAAACCCTTCCCCCATAAAAATTCATTCTCAATTGTCTTTCAGGGCATTGTCTCAAGCTTGTATTCACAGGCAGATTAGGTACAAGTTTAAACTACACAGATGATATCACCAAGATAAATGCAACTTTATGCGTAAACACATTTGCGCAGTCACCAAGAATTTTTTTAAAGCTGTTCGAAATTTACAAACAACTCTACTTCCAAGTCCATAATGTCGTCGTGCCCCCTCTCTTCAAAAGAGACATAAATCTCTTGAATAACGCTCCTCAAGACAACCATCGGGTCGCCATTATTAGGAATGATCTCTCAACCGAAGCCGCTACAGGCCCATTGGTGGATGGCTTTGTGAGAAGATTTGATAAGCATGTACTCACTTATGGATTACCATACCCTTATTGTTTAGTGCATGTCCCAGAAATTATCACGTATATCGTTACGGCATACCCAGTATCTGCTTAATTTCCCTCTTGTGATAATCTCCATTACACTCCAATTTTTCAATTTCGTCTTTTTACACATCACCTAATAAGTAAACCATCCATATATTCTTCAGAAAATCATCTGTTAGCACTTGATTTATCACTTTATTATTCGCCAGCTCAACCAACCAACCTCCTGAATAAGGATGCAGTAACTTCTGGTATCAGTAAACCCTACAGTCCTGAGAAAAACGCACTCGCTAAATTACGAGATATACAAATCCCCCAAAATAAATACCGCATTGACTAAAATCAGTTCAGTGAAGCGGCTAGACTACCAACCAGACATGATCATTTGCCTGGAGCCGTGCTGAAAGAACAAGAACAGAGTTAAAAGAAATTAATTACTTTACACAAGCTCGTGACACAGATACTGGATACATTGTGGGGTGTCATCTACCGCGGGCCTTATGATAAAGGTGTGTAACGTTATCGTTTTCGTATTTCTAATACGAGATTCCGTTAGTATCACTTTTGTGTACATTTTCATGTTAAGTCTTGCAACATATGTGTACTGATTGTTATGATTGTCTGTACACATAATTGTTGGCAGTCGACTTGTCTATTTCTATATTGTACAATGTGCGAAACAATTGTCAGTCTTCAGTAATAAGGATAGTAGGCTGATAAACCTGTGTTAATCCTGACAGATTTCCTTCCAGTGAAGGTCCAGCTTCTTCTTAAAAATGTTCACTAGTGGTGTTGGTACCTCTTGTTCTGGTAAAGCGTTCCAGTCATTGACTACTCGATGAGAAAAACGGGACCCCACCTTTAGTTTATTAGATCACGGTTTCAGAACCTTTTTGCTGTAACCTCAGAAATTATTAGTGCAGGAGGGAGCAAAAAGATAAGACATATTAACACCCAGATCATAATTAAGGATACGAAATGCCAGTATAAGGTCACCTCGTGTCCTACGATAAGATAAGGGGAAAAGGTTTAGACGCTTTAAACGCTCATTGTAAGGGAGTTTAGAAAAACCTTTTACTTATTTTGTCTCTACACGCTGGACATGCTCAAGCGATTTAGTATCCTTTATCAGACAAGGGCTAACTGCTTGGATACAGTATTCTAAGTGTGGCCTTACATAGGTAGGATATAAAATTCGATACATCTCCTCGTCGAAGCATTTAAATGCTCTGCGAAGCGACCATAGCGCACGATAGCCTTTGGAAGCAACCGCATTGCAGTGCGTAGTAGTTTTCAAGTCGTGACTTATAGTTACTCCTAAGTCTTTGTGCTCTTGAACGCGTGGCAGAGATGTACCATTAATGGTATAGTGGTAACTAATATCGTGCCCGATGTGCATGAACACGCTCTTCCTTGAATTAACTTCCGGGCCCCAATCATGAGCCCACCTAACTAATTCGTCTAAATCTGCTTGCAGATAACAACGATCAGTCTCATTTCTTATTGTTCTCCAGATTTTAACATCATCCGCAAACAATAACGTCGACGACTTAAGTAATAATGGTAGTTCATTAATATACAGAAGGAAAAGTAGAGGGCCTAAGATGGTGCCCTGGGGTACACCACTTTTGACCGGTTTCCATTCGGATAGCGTTCCATTGACCCGTACTCTCTCTGTGGTCACATAAGAAGCTTCCTATCCATTCCTGTATAGCACCTGTTATTCCAAAGCTCGAGAACTTTTGCATAAGACCTAAGTGTGAAACCTTGTCAATCGCTTTGCTAAAATCTATAAATATCACGTCGACAGACTGGCCGTTGTCTAGGGCAGCTGTCCAATCCTCTCTCGCAATGAGTAAGTTAGTCAAGCATGAATGCTTGTTACGAAACCCATGTTGCTTGGGAGTTAGCAGATTGTACGAATCTATGTGACTCAGTAGCTTAGCCCGAATTAATTTTTCAAGTAATTGTCCTCACTTGAGTAGTTCCATATGATATACACCCGTTTAACACTCAGCACATAAACAACTTCTGAAGTCTATTTCCTATGGCTTTATGTTCGCTGCCTACACTAAAGTGTATTGTCATGCAAGGTGTCGTTTATCGTACAGCCAATTAGTTCGAAGCACTAATTAGCAAGAGATTTATTTGTGCCTCTGATCCTTAGATCACCTTACGGAGTTAACACGATTGGAGTCCACCTTTTCTTTGGTGCTGTTGTGTCTTATCAGTCTTTTATATGAGTTCCGGCAATATGGTATGCATATCTAGACTAACCTTTCCTAATTCCTGCATTTCCGACTTCACAATCATGATCATCCATTCCAGACACATTGCTCACAATAATATTAGTCTAAGCTGCCACACGATGCCAGTATAACAAGACAAATTTGTCGAAAATAGCAAGCATCACAGGAAAGTATAGGTTCAACGTCTATGACTATCTGACTTCAAAAGTTACTTCATATCAAGGGAGCATGGTGAAGTGTTTGCTTATATAGCTGCAATAAAAAACAACGAATAGATATGAAAACAAGTTATTTCAAGTTTGTGAAAGAAGAGCACCTCCAGTGATGTATACTATCTAATGTTTCAAATGTCTCAATACGCGTCACTCGACGTGGTTATTTGTATAGCTCATCTTTGAACTTCAAATTTTTACCATTTTCCTGATAGGTATGACTCATTTTTTCACTATACTTCTTGATGCCAGTAGTTAGATTGTATTTTTAATCTTATTCTATTTTGGTAGCGTATAACGTCTGTCTTCGTAGGGCGAATGAAACTAACTGGATAAAAACTAACATTCGCTTTTTTAGGTGATATTCCATCTAAAATGAAACTGGATATCAAAGACAGTAAATCTGATGTTGGACGAAGTGCATGTTATATAATCAAGGCTATCCTTTTAGAGTCAACTAAGGATAACCGTATTGTTACAATCGGTTTATCTGGTAATTTAATCCTTTAGTTAACTTTTTTTACCAAGGTGGGAGTATGCCTCACCTCCTTGCACCATATCTTTGCTCTTTCTCGGAAATCAATTGGGAACTAGTTCATTTTTTTTATTGTGATGAAAGACTAGTTCCATTAGATAGTAAAGATTCAAATCATCATGCCTACCAAGAACTACTCTATTCTAAAATTAACATTCCACCTTCAAATATTCATACTGTTAATACAGCATTATCATGTAGAGTGTTTTTAATCACAATATAAATCATGTTTAGTAGAAGATTCAGCAGTTGATTATCAGAAACAGCTCTTATCATTCTTTGGAACAGCTAACGGTTATCCACGTTTCGACCTACTGCTTCTTGGTATGGGTCCAGACGGTCATACATGCTCTTTGTTCCCTAATCACAAATTGCTCTATGTAAGTTAATATTTTATGCCAAATGTTTAAAACACCATCGATTTGTGCTTCTAATTTACTTCAACACCTTGATGCTGTATAATGCTTTGTATTTTTTTACTGTTCACTGAGGAAAATGCAGAGTTATTTTTTCAATTGTTACAATAATGCTTCTGGCACAGGAGTGTATCATTTTAACTCTTCACTCTTTCCAGCTCCACAAATCGGTTAAAATAACAAACTTATTATGAGTTATATAAAATCATTGAAAAAGGCAAATATAATCGAAGGGAAATGGGTTGACGGACTGTTAAATTAATATATTTTTGTTCTAATTTATATCACTACGTTATAATAGAGATAAAAGAGAGCAAAAGAAATAGCTTTATCAAAAAAAAGTCAATCAGTCGGAAATAAAAAGATTATTATGGATGAATTTACACTATTATGGTTAGTTTTGAGTTATGCAACTACCTATATGGATCCTCATCAGCAGTCAAAGACTGCATGCACTTTTCAGAGATAGACATAGGTCATATAGGTACTATTGTAAAATTTGTAATAATCCTCCTTGTCGCATTTCTCAATGAGAAGTCAATTCGAGAAATTACAGTATTAAAACTAATATTGTGACACAAAAACGTGATAACAAGAAATATAGAGCACTAAATAGTCTAATGTTTCCAAGAATCGAAAGACAGCAAGAACATCAAGTATAATGCCAACGATTTTAAACTACCACTCTTATTAGCAGTAGTATAATAAATTTTGATTGGTGTAATCAAAGTAGATATGGATCTTAGGTCTTAACATTGTTTGTCGTTTCATATTCCACAGGTTCACTGGTTCTTTATCATATTCAGTTTCTCATTATTGTTGATATTATTATTTCATCTCATTCGCTTTTAATCTTGGTAATTTAATCTTGTTCTGATGTGATTTAAAGCAATTTAAACCGATACCTATTTAAGTCATTTCATACTTTGGGTTTAACTAACTGTCAAAGGCACTCCATACAGATACATCAACCAACTTAATATTTATGTTTAAACTGCCTTGTCAGTCCCCATTGTAACTTCAAATCACAGATTTCGACATTAAATGAAGCGTTAGACTGTTATCTGAATAGTATACCAATAGTTAAAATACGTTACAACCAGTAAATCCGAAGTTCGAGCAAATTTTCAACCTAATTTAATTTGAGTAGCCAGCTAGAATTATTAACTCTTCGTAGGGGTAGCGTTGTTCACTGGCGGCTAGCTAAACCTACAATTGGTAAGTCACACCTAACTAAATAGCAATAGCTTTAATTAATACTTTATACTTATACATATAAAAAGTCAGGGAGTTGCTTAATCAAAATCCATGAATTTTATTTTCTAATAGTATGAAGATTTTGTGGTAGCACCAATTTCTGACAGTCCAAAACCACCACCACAAAGGGTTACTTTGACTGTGCCTGTAATTAATAAAGCAGCAAAAGTTGTGTTCATGGTCACAGGATCAGATAAAGCTCATGCATTAAAGGTAAGATATTCTCTTATCATTAATAAGATGTATCATATTTGAAACTTGCCATTGTAATAGGTCTACTAGTTGGACGTTGCTTCTAATAACTCTTGACTAAATCTACATGACGACTTAAACACAGGAGCAACGGCGCAATGTGCAAGAGCCAAAGACTGGTGATAATGATTTATTTGACTTCCAAAATACATCAGGATGATTTATGGATACACTGCTGTTTACAGTTAGATTAACAGTCTAATTTGTTTGATATAAACTGAGCTATATTTAATAGTAACAATAATAATAACCTACTATGTGAACACGTTTACCATATTATGCAATTAATTATCTATAAGAAACATATATGACTAATTGACTAGGTTATAAAATTACTCCTTAAGATGTGACTCTTCACACTCAGGCTAACACAGCGAAGGCTTCAAAGATAGTCAAGATTAGCATAAGCTGCTCTGACTTTCACTGTACGTGAATTGATCTCATTACTCACGCCAATACCAGCACTTACACAGCCACCCAGTTACACAAAGACGACTACTTGAAACCCATCACTACCAAAAGTGTGTTCAGGTTCACGTTCCTGTCAGTCTTGTAAGAATACTTTTCACTTAGAAAGTGCAAAGCAAACGCCATTCATTATTTTTATTTGAGCACATAAACGTTGTTGCAAGGGGGTTGCCGAATACGTATGCGCCACATAACAACAATGAGGCTGTGAAGAGATAAATAATGTAAAGTGTGTATATTCAAAGAAGAACAACGAACAGTGTATGAGAGTGAAAGCATTTGGGGACTGAAGTTTAATTGCTGCTAAATACTAAGGTCGGACTCAAGGCTTTTAATTACTATTACTTCTGTAAATTTGAATAAGTTGGAAATATACTGTCTATTGATAACTTTAGAGGAATGAATGGTATCCACTTTGTACCTCGTTTCTAGCAGTTGACGTGTCATCGAACTAGGCTAGTTTTCTAAAGGGCGTACATTTTTTGAATTATACTTATAACTAAAAGCACTCCCTTTTATCCTTCCAGTTTACATACTTTTCCACGTGTTAGAAAGCATATATGCATACATAGTAACATATGACAGATGTTTATCTACTTGTGCTTGTGTTATTAAGCATAGTGATGTTCATAGGAGAACCAATCTTACTGATGAGAGTGTGTTTCTAAGAGTCCTTTTAGTCTTTAATAACTGGAAACAAGTAAACACATTAGCTTGTATGTAAGAAAGAACTAGAAAGCAACGAAATATAATAAAGTCATCCTTATTCTGCAGAAATTGTCACTCTTGCTTTGCTTAAAAATTATAAAGCACATATCATTATATCGTTTGTACAAAGTTGTATAGTTTAGATCAATGTAGATTATCCAATAAAATCTGCATAGGTCATATTGTTTAGTAGTTTTTTATTTGCTCAATCTGGGATACCATGCTAAACTTACATTACATCGGTAAGTAACTTAAAATCACGTTTAATTGTTTCATCGTTTTTCCGGCTATTATTATGATTAATTAAACAAAAACAACCTCTGTTGTTTATAAACAATGATTGTATTCATCAATTAATCCTTTATTGATACTACTGTCTTTCTCTTCCGTCTAGTCTGTTCATCAATCACCTAATCCGGGTCCTTCTATGCCGTGTTCATTAATTCATCCAGTCTATGGAGAATTAATATGGATTGTAGATAAAGATGCTGCTAGTTTATTGAGTACATAAATCAACTGTATTGTTGTTAATATATTTTATGCATGTGTACTCTCTATCATAATCTTTGAATTACATTATTTGAATAAAACGCGGAACAATTAAACTTCTCATCAACTACTTACAACCATATGTGTATTAAAGTGTAACATTGAGTTATGATAAATAATAAATAAATCTTTTATATCTATCTTCAAGTAATCTGCAACTTATGTATTATCACACTATTTTGATGGAATTGGTTCCCTGAGCTGGATGCTTTAGTCGTGGAGATTTCATCGTCCTTCTGAACGATGTCATCAACACAAACTTCGGATAGAAGTGCCAGGGGAACCCCTGTTTAGATACAGTTAGTTATAAGTATGCTTTGGTGTTCTCTTCTGCTAATAGTTTTCATGAAGATACTATCAGAAAACAAAAGACTTGATCTATATTTAATATAATTCAATATCCTAACAGTGTTTGATCAATTTACTTCTGTCAACAAATTAGCTAAGAATATTGAAGCGAACAATTGTTTTCAATGACTTAATCATCAAGATCTACAGTTACAAGTACATAATTATTGTGATATTTTACAAGGGCCAAAATTAGTTGTGCATTAGTGGATTTTGCAATGTTATATGTTAAGAATGGTGAAGGTTTGTATCTGTTACGGCATAAATACCTGAAATTTGTGTTACTTGTAAGTTAGGAAGGTCAGGATGATTGTTATAAGTGTCAAGTTAAATTAGTAATATAATAAGATAACTAGAATTTGTCATATCTCAAGGAAATAACATGAAATGGGTGCCTTCTGAAGTTTTATATCGAGTCCTTTTTGACTCTAAGATTCCTTGATTTCATCAGCTGTTGCGAATCAGAGTAAAATAGGATTTACCTCATAGCTTGTATTTGTCACAGATAGATTCCACTTTTGATTTCATTGATGACCATGAAGCACTAGGGAATTGTTTCTTTCTATTATAAGACTCCTAAACTGTATACATCAAAGAGCTTCAGATCTCACAGTAAATGCATGACTATCATAACCACTCAGTTGTACAATTCCGACTAAAATCAGTTCGCAATATCTCTGAGATGATCCATATTTGGAAGAAACAGCTATCAAATGCTTCTTAATTTCAGAAGTACCTCAACTGAGATCAGATTGTGACAAAAGTAACCTACGAATGAAATAATTTTCCACAAAACCTTCCAACTGAAACGTATCTTCATTTAACTTTTTTTCGCTTAAGTAAAATGTGCATGTCCTACAAATTCGATCGTAAGATTCTTACTACTGTCAAAAGAAAATAAGTAGTTTGAGTATCACAAGCGTGTTTTTTAAAATGTCACATGCTATGGATGTTATGTTGAAAAGATACTAGAAATTGATCAATTCGTAGACACTCACAGTATAAGCTCCGAATCATATGTCCGTTTCATTAATTATACCAGAAGCTAGGAGGATTGCTATGAATTAAATTGTCAACATCAATTGTTTCCCACCACATGACAGGCGTTATGTTTGCTATGGACTATTACTTACGCCTGCTACTCCCGCACACCAGCATTCTCCATCCAACCCTGTCCTGGGCAATCCTATCCAGTTAACATTCATCCTTTTCATACATGCTTCTATTTCCCCGACTAATGTGTTCTTTGGTCTTCCTATTTTTCCCCTTCACTTCAGGATTCCAAGTCAGGGCTCGTCTCGTGATGAAGTTCAGTGATTTCCATAATGTATGTCCGATACACTTCCAACGTCTTTTCCTAATTTCCTCTTCAGCTGGAACATGCTGGTTTGTCCTCTCCCATAAACGCTGTTGCTGATAGTATCCGGCCAGTGAATGTTGAGTATTTTGCGTAGACAACTGTTTATAAGTAATTGTACCTTCTTGACGCTAACCAGTATTGATAATGTTAACGAAATATAAATATCGGCTACCCTTTTTTATAATTAACGGTTTGATTCGAATTAGAAAATAACAAAATAAAGTGAGTCAAATACAAAAATGAATCTTCAATACACATATTTCAAACAATCGTTACTTCATACAGACAACAAGAGAAACGAAGTGGAGAAGCCAACACATATCAGCTCAATTTGTTAAAGCATGACTGAACATTTATAGACAGACACGTGATGAATAGGGTAAGCAACATGCATAAATAAGCTCATAAAAACAGTCAAGGTTAATAGGCGAACAAATAAATTCGACTGTCCGACAGCTAGAATAAGCCGTGTATACTTGGCATAGTGCTAGACATTACAACTTTATTAGCATTTCAGCTTCATCTTAATTGGAGCTAAAGCAGAAACGGACTGAATTTCTCTACTATTAAAGGTGTTGTTTGAGTGAAACTAGAATAATTCTTATAACTTAGATAGAAAGGAGAACTGACCACTCCTAGTCGTTTTCACCAAGGATAAAACTAATGACCTCTAGATCTTATAGAGAGTAAATTACCTTCGATCCACTGCCTCATATTTCATGATCAATCAGTTAGCAATATAATGTGATGGTAGTATTAAACATCTATTGGGTCCTAATAACAATCATTTGGATTATCGAGGTGTTCTGGTACGCATGTGACTAACATCACTGAACATTAGATCTACTCATCATGTTCAATATTATATTAAGGGTTGATATAATTCTGATGTTTGGGATATTTTAAGGAAATAAGTTTTATGACGAAATACTCTTGTAGTGAACAGAACACTGGTTGGGGACAATCGAATGTATTAAAGCAAAGATTGCAGACTATCTCAGTAAATTCTGATAACCAAACAATGAACAGTCAATTTGCAAATTAACAGCCAATTAATTCAATCTTCACTGTTTCTTCTCTTATTCCATTGCTCATGCATTTTCCAGACGATTGCGCTTCATTTCAGTTCTTTCCTCATCGGTCTTCTGCCAAAATACATTCTATGTCTGACCCACACCATATACTACTTATATGGATATAAGTAGACCACACTCTCTCTACTAGTAAGGCTCGAAATCTAGGAACCAACTGTATCACACTTCCAACGTCTTTTCCTAATTTCATCTTAAGATGGAAGCTGGTGTATATCGGTATGTGACTTTCTGTGTTTAAGATTTAATGGAGTCACATTCTGAGCCAAGACAGACAGATCACATGCGATCTCACGACACATTAATAAATGAAATGAGATCATGGCCGTGTTATCATAAATAATTTAATTATTCCCGTAGTCATAGCTACCACTCAAAAGTTCTTAATAAGCTAGCAACTCATATGTATACGTAAATACTTTTATTAGGTCAAATTGTGTTCCAAAACTATTCAACTTTGTGAAGATGAAAGAAACTAGATTTTATCTTCATTGAGTTTCAATGAACAGGAGAAGTGTTATGCCTCGACCTAGCCGTCGCCAATTTGTTATGTTTTTAACCTAGGCTGTAGCCAATCGTTATGTCTTGATCAAGGTCGTCGCTAATTTGTTATGACCTTACGAATTAAACAAGGACGTAACTTGCGTGAATTACCCGCTAATAGAAATACGACTCCTATGACCTTCACACTGTGACAATGACGTTCGATTAGTATGAGTAATCTAGCGTCTTTATTGGTCCTTATCCGCCTAACCCGTCCACTTGAGTCCAAAACACCAATAGCAGCCTCGGCAATACGAATCGTTTATTTCAAGCATACTTTGTTTATATATCAGACAGACAGGCCACATTACACCATAAAATAGAAAATAATATTTGTACAAATTCAAGCCAAATGTGGCTAGGAGCGTGGGAGACAATAAACTGAGTATAACTTAGGAACAGTAAATCATATAATAATAATCAATGGGCCAAAATGAAGCTTGTCATAAGATGAATATAGATATAGATAATCTAGTTACTGAATAGTTATACAATAAGAATAATAGGTCCTGCAAGTTATCCGTACTTATGTCTTCGCTACTACATAACAAGGAGTATGGGATATTTGAAGTGCACATATTATTGTTCGGATTTTCACAATAAACTTCGCTGCTTCTTAACTTTTCACTTTAAGTACGGCAATAAATAATCAGTGTGCTCCAAAGTTATTGAAATACAAGTAAAATTCATTTAAACAAGAAGTTAATACTGTCTTGAGTTTAGGCGTTCGCATAGAAGACCGGAAGTCCTGGGTTCGAGTCCCTTGCACGGAGTCATGGATGTGCACTGTTGAGGGATCCCATACGAGGATGAGACAGCCGTCTGGTGCTTCCAGGTCTTCAATAGGTCTAGAAAACTTCTGAAAAAGTGTTTCAAGCATTAACTGTAAAGATATATCAGTCGATTACGAGATGAAAAAAATAACAATTATTTTCTTTTTGAACAATGCGAAGCATCGCTGTAGCTTCGAATAGAATAATTTGACGAAACTACCCATTATCTATACTCTTACTCTAAAATGCACTTATCTGAACGAATCGTTTTATCAAATCAGCTGCGAGTATCATAGTTATCAGTTCAGTTGCCTACCTCAGATCAACTGGGGGTATCATAGTTATTACTTCATTTGCCTTATAACTTTGTTTCATTGATTATAGTAGCGAACGAATTAGGATTAAGATGACAATTTTAATGATAAAACTTTTCTTTCTACCATCTGACTTTCGTATATAAAAAAATAACTTAACAACTGTTGCAGATATTTTTCTAATCATTATCTAATCTACATTGATGATCAGATTTAATAAATTAGACCAAATGTGTAACTATAAGATTAGATCTATGGAAGACAGATGTGAATGTATGAGTGACGCCCCCCCCCCTCATTTTTATTATTTATTACCTGTTACATGTATTATAAATTGTACTACTTATAATTTATGACGTAAATATATAAATTACAGTAAAAAAATCGACTACCCAGATAGAAATATAAAAATTACTAATTAAACTATGTGTTATTCATGGTAAGCAGAAATGGATAGTGGTTAGCAGTGGAATCCAGTTTGACGCGCGTTTCGTCCTATTCGGGACTCGTCAGCTGGATGTACCTGCATCTCA